TGGATGCTTAGAATGGGATCCAATTCTATTTTATGGTTCGCTCCTATCCGGAATGTAGTTCTGGTAGAAGCTGGGTAGCATGCGTGGTCTTTCAAGACATGAAGTGTTACCCCATAGCCTTTTGGGTTTCTTATTGGAAACTAAGGCACACAACTTCTTTATAAAAATACTGTTATTGCATTTAACAAACTGTTATGTAGCTGAGTATGACACTTATCTTTTTCCATCTATGCCCCAGAAAAATGAAGTTCAATTACCTACGTGGTCACATGGCTGATGTAATAAATGCAGTTGTAGTAAAAAAGCAGGTATTGTCATTTCCAGTAAAGGTCGCTTTCTGTGTTTGGCACTTGACAAGCTGTAAAATTAAGGCAGATGAGAGAACTTACCGCTCCTCCAGCTGCCTTTATGCCTTCTGGCAGTTGGCCCCTCCCCTTTCCCAGGGCAGTGTGGGAAGGGTGGTGGGTGGGGCCCTAGGGCAGTAGGCAATGGGCAGCATCCGGGGTATAAGAGCCACAGCCTGCAGGAGGGAGCTGAGTGTGCTCCTGGGCTGCTCTGAGGTCAGTGCTCTGGTGTTCCTGTAGCCTCTGCTGCTCTTGAGCTGCCCCAGCTATTTGGTGCAGGTGTGTTTTGGCACTTAGAGAAGCAGAGGCATCTGAGGTCAGAGCTGCAGGACCAGCCAAGGTAAAGCAGCATATATAGTGGAAAGTACACTTGTGTGCAGCTTTCTGTTTTCTTCAGGTCAGTAATTTTGTGTTGAGTGTTCAGGGATAGCAAGGTGGTTTAGTAGCACAGGTCGATTGCATTTGTCTGTAATTCATGACTGTATGAAGATGGGACCTTGTCATCTTTACCGGTTTTGCTGTATGCTGTGTAAGTTGCTGATGTTGCCTCTCTTAATAGGAATGATGGCAAGACTATCTCGTGGGGGTTAGGGTGAGCATCTTGTATGTCTCTGTATATGTAGTTTTAACATTTTTCAAGAAAGCTGCATGGACATAAGGCATGGTGTTTTTCACGGTATGGGACAGCTTGCCACTTTTCCCGACTTGCCAGTAGAGTACCCCATTGTCCCTAGAACCTTGGCAGCTTGGCAGCAGGCCCCTTGTAGATTATAAGCGTCAGGACTTCACTTATTTTGTGGGCCTGTAGCAGAGCCTGTGGGAAGACAGGAGATAGAAGGTGCCTGCAGAATGTAGGGCACTGCTCAGAAGAGCAGCTCCTGAGGAGCTGCCAATGTAGGGGGTTCCTGGAATGTGAACACAGGGAAGGAGCTGTCAGGAAGGAATGGGGTTCCTTCCCTGACAGTTCAGGAGAAGAGAAGGAGTTTCTAAAGTTTTGGGACTGGGGGATGGTTGGGAAAGGGAGGAGGGCTCATCAGCCTTTCTCAGACTGGTTTTGCAGTTGGATTTGGGTGTCCATGAGGCCTGCTCTGTTGTAGTCTCTCCACAGCTGGCGGGAGGCACAACAAAGTCACGAGAGATGCAGTGTAGACCATCCAGGCATCTGTGTCGCAATATGCGGGGCCAAATGTCAGATGAGTCCTCTTGGAAAGCATTATGTACATGAAAACATGCTCTCCAGCACTCTGAGGTCTTTGCTTTTCTCTGCCTTTTACTTACTTCATTCCCAACTTAACTTTTGCATCCATCTGTTCATCATCCATCAGGATGTCACAGTCAGTGTTACTCAGAGGCATTGACTAGGCACTTATTTCCAGCACAAGTTTGTCACTGTTTGTCATCTGTTTTCTGTTCGATGTCATATGTTACTCAGGTCTTCATGTTCCCACTGGGTTTTTTTGTGCTAGGTGGGTGCATGGGTAACCACGCCGAGGGTCTCCTGTGCCTCAACTCATCAGCAGAATGCTAACTGAGCGCTTCATGTCTTGCATTAGATGCTCAACACAGATTTGTCTCGTGTGTCTCCTGTCTGAGAAGTCTATGAACAGTCTTCTCTCCTGGCAGAAATCCAGGATGCGTCAGCATATCGGCTGTTGAGATGTCTGTTTCCATGGAGCCCTTTTCTGGGTCTACTTCTCTGCATACTTTCGGTCTTAGGGTTTAGAGCCTGTCTTCTTGCATATCCATTGTCACGGTTGCAGCCATATCTTTTTGTGATGGGCTGCATAGTTTGACTTCTGGGGGA